ATTAAATACATCTACATATTTAATAAATTTATTTCAAGTACTCACAATCTCGTCATAAGTGATCGCAAAGCTCCTGGATCCAGCCCTATGACGTATCGTCTGATGCCTGACGCTCCTAGCATTTCTCCTAGAAAGAGCCTGAAGCAAAATGTAAAAAAATTAAATTAAATGAGTCAAGTCGGATAAAAAATAAAGAAATTATAATTAATACAATATTATCATACCATCTGGTCAGCCGTCATCCTAAAATAGACGTAAGTGGACCAGTCTTGGTCCGGGACTCCACCAGGTACATCTGCCAGTATCTCTGGAGGGGCCTCGTCCCGTCACCTTTTCTCCCTCCACAGGTCGGCCCTCCTGTTCTTCCATGCCATCCCCAGCCTCTTGATCGTGTCAGCCCTCAACTCCTCCCCCAGAATAAATTTACTCTATGATTAAAATAATAAATTAACTAAATAACAAATTATAAACAAATAATTAAGCAATTTCAATAATTAAAAACAAATAATTAGTTTTTAACTATTTAACAATATTATAATAAAATATAAATTAATCAAAGTTTAATAATAATTAAACAATTAAGTAATTTAAATAAAAAAATATTTTTACTCAACTAATTTAAAATTATTATAAGTAATAAATTAATGAAATCAATAACAAATTATTTTCATTTAACTACTTTTAAATAATTTAAATTAAAAATATATATTCATTTAACTACTTTTAAAAATATTATAAATAACAAACAAATTAAATAAATAAAAAATTATAATCAAACAATTAAATTATTTGAAAACAAAATATATAATCATTTATTTAAATTAAAAAAAATTATAAATAACAATTTTATATTACCTTCATTATTTCCCAGCCTTGCTGCTTCTTGTCTGAGGTGATCTTCTTCCAGTCCTGCACGTAGATGGGGAACAGCGTCCACTGCTGACCAAGGAGGCGCACGTACTTGTTGTACAACTGGCCACCTTTCTTCGTCGGTTGGCCCAACTCATTGAGCGGCACAACCACTCGTCCGCCCGTCATCATAGACAGCTCTCTGGCTGTCAGCCTCCGATAGGACCTGTTCCCCTCAGTGTCTACAAAATTTAATTAAGAAATAAATTATATATCAATAAATTAATATAATTTCTATATAAATTAAATACTGATCAAAACTTTAAAAAGTTAAAATAAATACTTACCGACAAATTCCACCTCATAACCAGCCTGACGTCTCGGAGCAGGACGCTGTGCAGCCTGGGGATACTCATTCCCCTGATCCTGCTGCTCCTCCTCCTCCTCCTCCTCGTCAGCAGCATCAGCATGGGGTTGCTCATCCCCAGTAAAATGAGCCTCCTCAGTCCGCTCAATACCATCCTGCTCCATAAAACTGAGGATATCCTCCTCGCTCAGATCGTAGTCATGAATGCTGGGAAATGGCTCATCAGCATCATGATGAACCTCACTGGGTCCAGCTCTCTCAGGATCAACTGGGTCTTTCCCATGTCGACGAGGCATCCTAATAACAACAAATAGTAATTATTTATAAATGAAATAAAAAAAATTAATTTATAAGCTATAACATAATAAAATTAATAAAATAAAACATAAAATAAAAATTATTTATCAATAAATTACTATTTTTACCTGAAAATAAGGATCTGCAACTGAATCAGAACTCAAATATGTTTGTGAAGAAATTCAGCAGAGCTTCGCTTCCAGAACGATTGAAGAAGTGAGAGTGGGGGGGGGGATATATAGACCGAAACTTTCTAGCGGTTAGGCACAAAACCGCTAGAAATTTCTAGCGGTTTTGTGCCTAACCGCTAGAAATTTCTAAACTCCTCGGGGAATGAAAAAAATTTCTAGCGCTTCATGCATCAACCGCTAGAATTTTTCAGTGTCTAGCGGTTTATTAGCCTGAACCGCTAGAAAGTAAACGCTACAAATTTGGCGCCAAGTTCCCGCCAAAGCCCGGGGAGTTTTCTAGCTCTAATTTTCTAGCGGTTAGGGGGTAACCGCTAGAAATGTGCGTTTAATGGTCAAACCGTCTGTATTTTGCAGCGGTTTTTGTAGGAACCGCTAGAAATATCTGAAATTTCTAGCGGTTTTCTTTAACCGCTAGAAAGGTTCCGCTGCTACTTCTACAATTTCTTGTAGTGTGTTATCTTTTCTTAAATATTCTATTAATAAAATGTATTAGTTAGAATTACTATTATTAAAAAATTATTTTAAAAAATAAATAAATAAAAAAGATAGAATAGATTAATGTTTTATATTTATGATCAAAATAAAAATAATGGAGGTAGTATATACTTTTCAGTCGTTGTCTTTGGCGTGCGATTAAAATCACTTTTTTGTGACTTTACAGCAGTATAATTCCCTTTTGAATGATCTGATTCGTTTTTTTTTGGCCAACCATTTGAATCGTCCATTGCTTACAAGGGGTTAGGTTCACTGATACAATACTGCCTCTCATTTTTAATAGTTCTCCGATCCTTAATATAAACTTATTTAACTAATTTGATTAGATTAAGAAAAGTTAGGTAAGTTAGTTAATTATAAGAAAAGTGACACATTTTTCCTAAAACACCATAATCATCTTTTTTAATATCCATCTCCCTTTTTTATTTGATTAAGGTTGAGAGAGTATTCATAGGGATAATTTAGAAAAAATTGATAAATATGAGAAATAGGTCTTATATTTAGAACAAAAATCAACTCAAGAATTGGGTCCTATATTAAGGATCAGAGGAGTATAAGAAGTAATTTAACATTCAGTTTAGTTTTAAATATAAAACTCCAATCAACTTTATCTTTTATATTTATCTATTTTATTCCAAATCTTGTAATAGTTACACATATTAAAGATTTCATCAAATAGTAGTTATAATTAATATATATGATTGGTAAAGATATTTTAAGAAAGACGAAATATATTTATTATAAATAACAAACTTAATTATTTTTTTTAATCTACTCAAATTAGTGATGAACCAGCTCTTATATTAAGAATTAGAGGTAATATCAATTTTTTAGTTAGCTGGTCATATTGTCGGCTAATCACGTCTTCCTATATGACTAATTATAAGTAAGAAAGCGTAGCTGCACAAACATGAACAAGACCGACCAATTCTTTTTAAGATAAACATAACAACAATTTTCAAACCTTCAATATGAAGTTGTGAGAAAGTCAACAAAAATGGTCTGATGCCAGAGAATATTCAGGTATCCATGAGTTAATGTTAAAGTAACCGCAGTCGGAGACTGTTCTATAAGTTGTGCCCACGCTGAAATTTTCAAAAACAACATGAAATTGTTATAACTTGGTCAACTATTTCAAGTCTTGGCGTTAGAATTGCCCCATTATTTAAATACTCCTCTGATGCTTAATATAAGATCTATTTAAATAATTTGATTAGATTAAGGAAGTTAGGTAAGTTAGTTAATTATAAAAAATGTGACATATTTTTTCTAAAATAACATAATCATTTTTTTTAATACTCCCTCTCCTACTTGATTATGGTTGAGGGAGTATCCATAAGAGTAATTTAGAGAAAATTAATAAATATAATAAATGGGTCTTATATTTATGATCAAAATCAACTCAACAATTGGGTTCTATATTAAGGACCGGAAGAGTAATTCGAATACTATAACAATCATAACATAGCCATCAAAATGTGAAATGTGAAATGATTTGTTTAATTCTATGGATCAAAACCAAAAATGGAGCGTACAGATATTTAAATGCTGATTTATGGAAGAAATAGATGTTTATACATGATTCACATAAACCAAACATTTAAATAGGGAGATTCTAAGTCCATGAAGTAACGACGTAAGCATTTTTTTAAGCTACAATCCTACTAATAGGATGTCAAATCTAATTTTTTTATTTTAAGTACAAATTTTTTTTATTGGAGATAATCCTACCCGACATATTGTCGCCTGTTAAATTGAGCATTAGATCCAAAACTTAATTCGTGACGTTAAGAGGGAATAATTGCAAATGTAATTTGCATGAACTCTTTTTCCTACAAAATATAAACAAAGGGGGGGGGGAGTGATCAGTGTAGGCCCTGACAATTTCCATCATGGATCCATCAATATAATGGACTTTAGGAGGGATTGAGTTCTATCATGGGCTTAACACACTATTAACGGGCCAAATCCAAAACATTAAGTTATTGGGCCTTTTGGTATTTTTAGGTCTACAGGAGTGAGAGAGGATACAAAGCATAGATTTTTTGTTTTTGGAATAGTTTTGTTTCTTTTTTAACTTTCCAAGGTAAAATAAAATGAAACTGGCAAATTAATAAGAGTTGGTTTAATTAGTAAAAAAATCAGTTCTTAACTCACAAAGTCGTGAGTTCGAATATAACTGTCGATGTGAGGACTGTGTTGGTAAGTGATCTGTAAGTATCTTTGTAAACATTTTTTGAGCCTGGAGGTATGCACTGGCCTTGGTGAGCTCTCAGAACCTAATTTATCTAAACTTTTGCTTATAAAAAAAAAGTATCTAAAAGGACTCTTTGAGCCTGAAAGCTTATCATAACCTTGACAGCCCCAACTTGTCTAAAATTTTTTTTTGTAAGGAATGAAACCAGCAAAGTCGAAAGTCGAAAGTCGAAATGAAGGGAGGGGGAAAAAAAAACTTTTAAACACAACTTGATCCATAAATGTGCGATAAATTTATATATAAATTTTAACAACAATCTATAACAGAAATTTATTCTCAATGTGTTTGGACGAAAAATTCTCATTTTAACTCTTCTATAATTTGTCTGATTGTGTAATTTAATAATCTGAAATATTTCATTGAAATTAGTGTGACCCATCTTCTCTTGTTGTCGCAGTAATTTACGATTCCTGCGCGGCGCGGAGCTCACGGGCGGTTCTGCTTTCACACCCATCAACTTTACAACGTTGAAGGGAACATCGTAAAACACATCCTCCCTTCGGCTCTGGCAAGGCTGGTTTGGAAGTGATCTCCCTCAATTTACCTTAATACCCCCGAACCACCTCCTTCGTCACCCTCCCCGTTTCTTCCCCTCCCGGCTACGTCTCGATGAGGGCAGAAGGGTAGTTTCACCCCCTCCCTATCAAAATCACCGTTTATTCGAATCTCCTCTGGAGCGAAGAACTGCCTGCAATTGGAGCCAAATTTCTCTTCTCTGGTTCCTTCAGATCTGCGGAGCCTGAAACCCTAACATTGCACCGTTAGTTCTCCTTCTGATCTCTTCGATTCGATAGGGAAATCTTCGAATCGAGAGCTGCAACAGCCATGGGCGATTTCAATCTCGCTCTCGTGATCGTCGCTATAGTCGTGTGCATCATCGTCTTCATCTTCAATGTCTACCTGCTCGTTAATTACCAGCATCCTGACGACGTTAACCAGGCCTACTTCCCTAAATTCGTCGTCGTTTTGGGTCTCTCCATCGCCGCGATTTCAATCCTCATGTTACCTGCGGACGTGGCGAACCGGCAGGCTTGCCGGCATGCCATATACAATGGCGCGTGTCATCTCACCTTGCCGATGAAGGATCTGTGGCTGGCGGTCTACATTGCCGATGCTGTGCTCGTTTTCTTCGTTATCCCCTTTGCCATGTTCTACTACGAAGGGGACCAGGACAAGTAGGTAGCTTTGGGTTATTGTATCAATGTGCATGTTTGTGTCCAAAAGCATCTGTTTTGAGTTGCCTTTGTTCGGAAATAGTTTATTGGTGATCGATTTTTGTTGTGGTTCTATAACCGGAGTGCAGGAGTGTTGGGAAACGGATTAAGAGTGCGCTGTTGTGGATGGTGACGACCGCGATTGTGTGCGCTCTGGTCCTGGGTATCTTATACGGTGAGCTCTTGTTTACATTCTTCTTCCTGTTATAGCCTCTTCCCTTCCCTAGTGTCTATGCATGTGTGATGAATTTATCTGAGCGGATAGTAGAAGTTGTTCCTAGGCATCCTAAGTTTAAGTACCAAATAATAAAAAAGAACCTCAATTTGTGTGCTTAATAGGGAAGATTTAAGCTTCAATAGATTAATTATAAAAGGTTCAAAGTGACTTAGTTGTCGGATGTAGGGGCTGGATATCATCATGGGGAAAAATTAAAATTAGCGCTGCTACGAATTCATCTTTGGGTATATGGGGATTTGTAAATCAAGATTTTAGGTTAGGCGAGCTGGAATGAGTTTTCAGCAGCACATCCACAAGAGGAAGGATAAGAAACAATTGACATGGCTTGGGATTGGAAGATCTACTGCCATGTTTTACTATTTGAAAACATTTTTAAGAAGTTCGTAGAAAAGTCGTTTATTTTTGCTTTAAAACGATTGCTGTTGCAAAACTGAGATTTTCATAAAGTTATAGGAAGAGTTATACATAGATTTGAGAAACAACGTCTTAGGAAGGAATAAAGGATGGTAAGCCACTCTTAATTTTTAATTTGACTTGTATCTGACTGGTTTAGTCCGTTGAGTGATAAATTATTGTATTGGGTTGATAAGCATGGTCATAGATCAATATTAATTTTTTTTTTTAAACCTGTGTTTTCTTGAGTGGTAAGATCGTTATTTGTCCCCCATTACGTTTTCTGAGAGAATTCTGCATGGCTCTAGTTATAAAGTGTCACTGTAAGGTCTGACTTATCAGTGGTGAACAACCACTGAACCTTGAATAGATATTTTAAATCCATTTTGTCCCTACTTGAGATTTAACCTCTATCTGACTGCTTTTATCATTTGACTGATATATTAGGGCTGGTTGGGAAGGTGGACTTTACTGTTAGGCATCTCTCTTCATCAACAACCTCATTTCCCAGCTCATGGAACTTCAATAGTGGTCAGCAATGCATAGGAAATGGTGTTCATCAGGTCTTAATTTCCTCTAGCTCATTTTATTGCTTATTTTTGTTGCTTTGGAAGCACCTTTTTGGATTTCTCATTCAGCTTTTTTCACCTTGTCCTGGAACCAGTGTTCTGCCTACTCTGCTAGCGCATCATCAGAGAAAACATGGACCATGCGTACAACTTTTCCAGAATATGTTGTGGCACTTGCTACTATTGTTGGATCTGTGCTCTTTGCTGTAAGCTCATTATTCATGAAGTTTAATACTTAAAAGTTTGAATACCTGCTTCTTTCAGCCCTGTTACTGGCACAACAGAGTAATTTTTTTTATTTTTTTATTTTTTTAAATACAATTGTGTGTGAAAGATAGTACTTTCTTTTGGGTACTAATTTATTGAGTTTGTGAGTGAAGATAGTGCTTTCTTCTTTTATGTTCGATCCCTTGTGGGCAAAGCTTACTTTAGTTTGTCAATACTTTAAAATAAATATAAAATTGATGTTATATGCTACTAGTACACGCTAGAACTAGAACATGCTTTCTCTTACTAGGAACTAAATGCAGCTTTTTATCTGGGATCATTTTATGATATTTCCCCTCAAGTTATGGAAAAGTGGCCATTAATTTGTATTTTCACCGTTCAATCCAGATATTTGGTGGCGTTGGTATTGCTTGTTTACCATTGGGACTCATATTCTCATTTATCCGGCGTCCAAAGGCTGTTATTACTCGCTCACAGTATATCAAGGTGCTATGTAGTTCTGTAGAAGGAGACTCCTGCTATGGTTTACTGCACAGGCTTTTCTTTTACTCAGTATCCCCGTACTATTTATTTATGATCTGTTTGGTTGGTTACGTTAGGAAGCTACTGAACTGGGTAAAAAAGCAAGAGAACTGAAGAAGGCAGCTGAGGCACTTCATCAGGACGAAAGAGGTGGTTCAAAGGGTAGGAAATTTCGTAAGAATGTAAAGGCTGTAGAAAAGGTAACAAATATTGATGATTTAATTGTGATGTTTACTAATATCTAATGCATCTTCAATGTAACTATTCTTATCATTGTATCATTCAGTCATCCTTGATAGCACCAACTTTGCACCACAAATGTCTTTGTTTCTGGTTTGTTCTGTTCTGATTGTTTAATCATCTATCTTGTTTAATTTGCCAGGAGTTGTTTCAATTAGAAGAAGATGTCAAGCTTCTTGAAGAGATGTATCCACAAGGAGAGAAGGTAGTCAACCAATGTTGTAACCTTTTTGAGTTATAAGCAAAAATTGCATTACTTTCCACCTTCTGATCCTACTTAAATGCAGGCTGAGACAGCATGGGCACTAACAGTTCTTGGATATCTGGCAAAACTTGTGTTGGGAATCTTAGGGTAAGCTATTGCGTACAAACTTAGATTGGATAAAATCCCAACAAGTAATGATGTCAATTTTATATTTTGAATTTCTTAAAAAAAAAAAAAATCAAAGCAGAAATTAAGGTGCAATAGGAACATTTAACATACCATCCCCAAAGGACATGCCTATGCAGACCTAGCTCCCTGTTACTGTGATGACTATCAAATGACATTGGAACTGCTTGAGATTCTACTAAACTTCCCCTGGTATAGAGTCCAAGGACATCTGTATGCTTTATAAGAACTGCTTGATGCTGGATGATACAGCCTTGGCTTGTACATGGTTTTGAAAAGCTGCTTCTTTTGATTTTGTAGCCTGTCTTTTTCTATCCTTCTCTTGTTATGAGAGGAAATGATTTTGCTATACTGTTTGACTTTATTCTTTTTTTCCCTTCCCCCCCCCCCCCCAAAAAAAAAGCGAACAATATGATTTATTGAAAAAGGCCTTTTAAAGGTAACTGCTGATGATAGATATGGTTATGTGATTAATGGCAATCGGCATACCTTCAAATTGCAAAATATCTGGGGATGTATAAACAAACTTTGTTTCTCTATTCAGAACATGTTTGTTTGTTGAAAGATGCTAGTGATGATGATTTTCTTTGTGCCTTTTATTTATTTCTTTTTAAGTTATGCATCCTAGAAGTTAGAGTTCATGCTTTGCTATGTATTATGTCCGTTACTGTTAGATTGTAATTTGCATAGTTTTCTTTTCATTTTCAACTTTAATTGACGGCTTAGGAATGTTGGTTATGCACATTCAAACTGTTTTCTGCAACTTTTTTTTTTTTTTTTGGTTGGGTGGGTGTTAATTTGGAGGATGTGGGTCAAAGGTGCATCTCATCCTCTTGTTCTGTTTTTAGCATTCTTTTCAATTTTGATTCATGTGAATATATTCTGCCCACAATCATGGGCTACATTATTATTGTTCTTTCACCTTAATCAGGACTGCTTATGGTTGCAACTCATGTGTTTTGTATTTAGAACAAGCTAACATCTAAAATCGTTGCAGGTTGATTGTATCAGTGGCGTGGGTTGCTCATATCATCATATATCTTTTAATCGATCCTCCTCTTTCTCCTTTCCTGAATGAAGTTTTCATCAAGCTGGATAATATATGGGGTTTGTTAAAATACCTATGCTTTTTTGGCCCTTTACCAATCAGCTGATTCCAATTGCAGATGCGGCATATTTTTAAGTTGTCATTCAGTTCTTGTGACTAAATGTTCATATTCTGCTCCTCTATCAGGTCTTCTTGGTACTGTTGCATTTGCGTTTTTCTGCTTCTACCTTCTCCTTGCTGTGATTGCGGGTGCCATGATGCTTGGGCTGAGACTAGTTTTCATTACTATCCATCCCATGAAGTAATTGATTTGCACTGCCATTTTTCTCTTTTCTTTTAATATATTACTCATTCTTTGTGACTGCTTATGATTTTATTTTGTTTTGACAGGTGGGGGGGCACTCTGATGAATTCTTTTCTGTTTAACGTGGGACTTATCCTTCTCTGCTCCATTAGGTCAGCATAGCCAACACTTCAAATGTTTCCATCGCTTTTTGGTTAGACAATAGGGAAATATAGGTTTGAATGACTGCAAATTCAAAGTGGTCGATATTCTAGCCTCTGAACTTCTCACATTGAAATTTTAGAATGCGAATGAACATAGGAAATTGTTTCAGTCATTGGGCTTATGATTTTTTCTGAAAGCTTTTGTTATGCTGTGGCTGTATTGCTGAGAATTCTATGGTTTTACTTTTTCAGTGTTATCCAGTTCTGCTCCACAGCATTTGCTTACTATGCTCAAGCAACTGCAGCACAGGAAATATTTGGTCACACCTTGCAATCTCTTCGTGGAATTAAATATTTATACAAGTGAGTTAAGCTGGACCTCTCTTCAATTCCCAATCCCTTGGAGGGGCAAAAAATGAAACCTTTCATTCTGGGCTAGCCTGTAAATTTAGACCCCAATGGAAGGGCCCCTTCTTTTGTCCCAACATCTAATTCTCTGTTGAGGTTCAACCGCCTTGATAATTTTCTTGCCAAATTAGTTCTTTACCATTCTTAACCAAATAGTATCATTTATGCTTTGTTGATGTGACCTGACTTGCTGGTAATTTTGTTACAGGTACAACGTATTTCAGATTGCTTTTGTTGTACTGGCTGGATTGACCTTTATATATTATGCTGCTTTTGTGAGTTCTCTTTTTTTCCCCTTCCTTTTTTTCCTTCCATTGTTTGTCATTCTTGCTGATACTGAAGGGTTAACCTGAAATAATTCAGGGATGGAGAAGAAAAAAGCCTAGTGGCCGGTTCCAATTGTCTTCATGAGTTATGGTTTATCAAGGAAGAGTGTCTCTTGGAGTGGGCCTTTCTGGTCCTATGAATCTCATTTGGAGTGATTTTTCATATATCGGATGTGTTTTTGGCCTAGTATTTTTGTTGTTGTTGAGAGCTCTAGAGGAGGCCCAAAACCATCCATCTGTAGAATTATTTTATGGCACAGATGAATCGGATCGATGTGGATGCCTGCCAGTGCTACCACTAATGGTTGCTTCTTATCACGCCCTTGTATGTATAATTCCTTTGTTTGATTTTGGCAACATATTTTTTCTTTTTGTTTCTTTCTGTTTTTTGAACTGAGAATATAATTGAAGCAGTCATGTGAATGAGTCAAACTTGGGTTTCTCTTAACACTATGTAGTGCAGACCCTTTGCTAAATAGAAAGTTGTGAATGAGCCAGTGTTTCACCAACTACTTTGTCTGCTTATAGTTTCACTCTTATCTTCGAACAGGCTTCATGTCTATCTTTACGCACAGGTGTGCACACGTATGTGTATTTAGTTGTGGGAAATTCTTCACTTAAATTTTAGACATTTTATTCAAGTCGAATTCCTTATTGTTTTTTAATTGAATGACATATTCTTGGGATATTGTTTCTACATTGGTTGTATCAGATTAATTTCTAGTTAGTGTAGTAAGGGGCATGTGACTGGCAAAAAAAGGGGAAAAAAGAATAGAGGGCAGGTAACGACATCTTTGATTTCTCGAAAATAAAAATATAAGTTGACTCTGCTGAATTATTAAAATTAAAATTCTATAAGAAATATGAACCGGGGAAAATTGGTGAAAAGTTCTTGTATGGATATTTTATTGCTTGAAGAATTTGATATGTTCTTATGCATAGAAAGTATCAGTTTTTTTTTTTTTTGGTAGGATTTCACTCAGAAAAAGTATCAGGCCGTTCTGTTTCATTTGAATGTAGGGATTACGAATCCGCCTAGAAGAAGAAATTGGGAAATTCGTCATTCGTGGGAATGAGAGGAAGCAGGTCATAGCCTTCCCTCTTAAAATATCAACAATGGAACGGAGCCTTGGGCTTGTTCCCAGTACATTTTCAAAACAATATATTATTTTTTTTCTGTTTTTTTGATAACCACAACACATTAATATATTACTACCTCCGGTCTTTAATATAATTCTTCTAACAATAGTAGTTCTAACCAATACATTTGATTAGCAAAGATATTTTAAGAAAGACAATACTTATTTATTACAAATAACTAATTTAATTTCTTTTCTCAATTTTTTTAAATTAATCAACTAGCTCTTATAATTAAGATCGAAGATGGTATATAGAAATAAAATATAGTATCAAATGACGGTAAGTGGGTGAAAGGGCCCTTTAATGAAATTCTCCCAAAATTTTGATTGGTGAGCCTGCAATCTAAAATCCAGGCAAAACTAAGAATAAATTGATTTAATATGCAAGGAAAATACACACATTATATATCTCTATATATCTTATAATTATTTTATTTCATTTTTAAATGATATACTATTTGCTAAATGTCTTAAATTAAAATTTTACTTCTGATCTCTATTTACTTTATTTTTAGTTAATTTTTATTTGGAATCAGTTTCTTTTTATATTTTTATATCATATTTTATCTTCCTTATAGAAAATAGTACATAACACGTAATTATTAATTCATTATATTTTAATATAACCGAAACTAATTCGACTACAATCTAGTTATTCAACTTAGTACCTCCAATAGTTCTATAGCTGGAGCGGAATTAGGGAGGGGGAGGGGAAGAAATTTAATAATAAATGATAATACATTTTATCAAATTTATATAACTATTAAAATCATATAAAAACTTGTGTGCATATATATATATATATATATATATATATATAATAGATACTTTATAATTTAAATATGATAGCGAATCTTTTCAACTTATATTAATTTTTATTATTTGAAATTCGACTCCTAAAATTTACTCATATATTGTTTACTCTTGACGAAACAGTTACATTTTCTATTAAAAAAAATTCAAAACTTTGCAATCTACTTATTTTAAATCATATTTTAATATCTAATTAATGAAAAATCATTGAAAGCATCATGAAATTTAAAATCATAATTTAAAGTTTAAACATCTGAAGTTTGCCGAAAAAAGGCCTAGAAATTCCATAAACCCCAATTCCATCTTTACCTTCCCCTTTCTCTCACCTCTTCTCCGACTATCTCTGCGAGGTTCCTCCCCATTCACAATACAAATTTGAAATTTGAGGGGCTGGAATAAAAGGTTAATATTTTATACAGATAAATGTGTCATAAGACTAGTTCAAAGAATCAACAATCAAGTTAAATCTTTGACTTAAAATTTTCAAATCTTAAGCTTCACTTGTTGATGTACTCCAATATTCTTCAATTTTTTTTAATTTTAAAAAACTATAATCCTATATTTATTTTAGGGCAAAAAAAAAAACCCTTTTTATAAATTGTTTCCTCCCTGTAAATCCCTGTGCTGCCACCACCACAGTGCAGAAGAAAAGATGGTAGTCTCAGAGGAGGAGCTCAATAGACTATTCAGAGTCAGAAGGACAGTGATGCAAATGCTGAGGGATAGGGGCTACCTCGTTACAGACTTAGAGATTAACATCTCCAAGAATGACTTCAGGCTTCAATTTTCTGGGAACGTAAGAAGGAGGGACTTTGTTATTAATAAAGCTAAGAAACAGGACAGCTCTGACCAGGTATATTATTACTTACATCTTCTACTTCAAGCTTGTCTCTTTTTGCCACCCCAGATTCAAATTTTCCTTGTCCTACCTGTTCCCTACACCAAGGTGATTCTTTTATGCATAAATTCGGCTCTTTTCCTGCTGGACTTGTAATATTTTAGTATTTCTCAAACCATGGACTTCATTATGATGTTGCTGTTACCGGAGACTGCATGTCTGTATTGAAAAAGGAAAAAAAGTTGTGAATGCTCAGCATAATAATGTCAACTTAAGTATTGAACTTTCGCTGTCACGTGCATGAGGTATCCTAGCCTTTTCTTATGGACAAGACTTGAACTTATATACTTATACGATCTTATTTATAAATCACTTCCATCATGTTTCATATAAATTAAAGAAAACTTTAAACTTTATTAACTCTAATTTAAAATTCAACAATTTTCCAACTTTATCCCTATTTAATATATATTATATCTCATCTAAATAAAGTCAACACAATAATAAATAAAAGGTAAAATTATACATCTATACAAAAAATTTCTTTAAGTCCCTTATAAATAAGACCTGAGGAGTATTTAATTTACTTTTATCAGATCAGGTCAGAATACGTGTGTTTTATTTCAATGCAAGTTAACCATATTAATAGTAGAAGTTAGTCATGGAATAAATAATCCTTGAGAAAAATTCACATGTAAATATATTAAGCATATAAATTTATGTATCTAAGTTGTTCTCTTTTCTAATGCGTCCAGCCTCTTCATACCATGTTACTCAACTTAGCTAGAGTGAAGAATAGTCAAAATCTCTATTTGCAGTTCAAGTTCAATTTTAGAAGATGAAAATTACTACCTGATAACTTCATCTGTTACATGTTGAATATCCAAATTCATAATTAACATTATGCAGTCTGTAACAAGATTTTTCCCCACCGTGTTAAATCTTTTAGCTGGTTGCCTTTGCAGCAGATCTATGTTTTCTTTCCTGAGGAATCTAAGGTCACATCTGAGACAATAAGGACATACGCCAACCGCACTAAATCAGAGAATGTATTCAGAGCAATTTTGGTTGTTCGACAGAAATTGACTTTCTTTGCCCAGAAATCTATCGCTGAAATATCTTCAAACTTTCACTTGGAGTTCGAGGTTTTTCAGGTGACATAATTTACTTTGTGATCTTGAAGTGGAAAATTGTCGATGGTTGTTTAAAAAAGTAGCTTCATTAATACAGGAGTCAGAACTGCTCGTCAACATAACAGACAATGCTCTTGTCCCTAAACATAAGGTGCTTACTGACTCAGAGAAGAAAACCCTACTGGAGAAATACACCGTGAAAGAAACTCAGGTAGCTTGATTTAATGCCATTATTCTCTCAACTGTATTATATGGAAAAATGTCAAGTATCCAACAAACCTATATATGTTACATTTAGGCTCGGTTTTGACACACAGAAAAGTCAAAGGAAAATAGGAGGTGGAAAGAATATTAGGAAGGAAAACTCGTTAAAAAGGATTACTATTTTTAGGAGTTTATTGTTAGGAGGTTTCACTCTTCGGATTCCTTTCCTCGTTATTTTTCTTTCCACCCAAATTAAGGGCTAGACTATTAGAGTTATGAGAAGACATTAGGGCGCCAGATACTTGGATTTTAAGTTTAGTAGGCTAAATTCTGACTTCTTGAGCTTTGCTAAAATGATATATCAGAGTGGAATTTGCTTGTTATATGCATGCTTCATAGGTTGAGGGACCATACTCACCTGTACGCTGAGATTGAGTTAGGACCTGGTACAAGGTATCTTTGTAATATTTGTGTGAACTTGTCATCCCTTTGAGGTGATACTGACACTGAGACGGTTGGAAAATTTTCCCAATGATTTAGAAACTAGTCTCGTATGAATAGAGAGTTGAATCTGTCTGGCTACAATTTTACAGCTTCCATCTAATAATACCTGCACTTGAAATGGATCCTGATACTGAAATATACAATGAATTTCATGCTTATAAAGCTGACTTCATTTCTCTGAAATTGTCCTGAACATCTTGAATGAAGATTGCCTCTCATATTTTGATTCTTTTGAAACCTCAAGTCTTATCAGACACTGATATTGTATCTTCCTCTTGCAGCTTCCTAGAATGCAGGTCACTGATCCGGTTGCTAGATATTTTGGAATGAAACGTGGACAAGTTGTAAGGATCAGCCGAAATAGTGAAACTTCTGGCAAATATATAACCTACCGATATGTTGCATAAGTAGCATAATAATTCCATTGGAGGGAAACTGAATGTTTGATTGAAATCGTTTATTTATTTATTCCCTGTTCTTCCTCATTTTCTTCAATCCATGGGTATCTTTTGTCAGATAAATGAATATGAACAAAGACACAGATAATTATGCGGAGCCTGTTTGCATGGAACAAAGTTTAAGAAGTTTTGTATCGGCCTGTGTCAACAAGAAAACAGAGTTTTGTATTGAACCTTGTATTGTCTGCTCTATGTTTCAATAAAAAAGTTAGAACAAATATGTCTGATTTAGTTATACCCTTCATTGAAAAGTTTGATCATTGTCTCTTAAGAAACTGCAACTAAATTGTGCACCTAACAAACAAAAGAATTGCATTGAGAATCTTAAAGAGAAACTGCAATTCGTTAAGCAGTCCTAGAAATTACTCCCATTCCACAAATGAAGGTGAGGTTATTGAGGAGACATTAATGGGGGTTTTGCCATCAGCACTGATAGGATCAGAAGGGGAGGGCTGTGAAAACTCCATAGGCATTGATTTCCAGTGCAAGTTTGGCTCCCACTCCGCTTCTTTCAGCACTTTCAGTATTTCTTTGGCCACTATTTTGCTTCCGACACTTGATAGATGAATTCCATCTCTGACAAGTTATGTTATTCACAAGTTATTAACTGTATGATTCATTTAAACTTGATGTAAAGATTTATGAATTGTACACCTTCTGGTCCTTATTACAACGAAGAGAATAAAAAGTAATATGATGTTGGGGTTTAGTGTAGTTAATAAGAATAATATTGGATGTCTTTTAAGTTTTATGATAAATTTATTGTTTTTAATTATTTATATTGGTACGTGTGATTTAGTTAGAAGTGACTGATAATAGGGATCCGAGGAGTAATATACTTACGTGAAGCAAACATCTAACCAATCTTGTCTTTGTTGGAGAGCATTCCAGAGATCAATGGCTTTTATATTCCTCTCTTGACAGACCTTGAGGCATGCTTCTGAATATGTTCTACACAATTCGTTGGTTCGAGTCAAACCCAGCACACCACTGCATTGATTCATCCCAGTCATTTATAATTGCCTCATCACAAATTAGAATCTGAATTTAAATTCCAACGACACATCTCTGCTCTACTCTTCGGCGTCTATAAGTTGATTTGAGATGGTTAAAGAAAGAACCAAAAGAAGTGAGAACCTGAGTGATTTCTGAATCTGAGCCTCGTTGATAGGAGGAGCAGTGAGGAATATGAGACGAGTCTTCTCTGAAAGGCTCTGCCCAATCATCAACATTTGTTACATGTGTCATCCCATCAAAGCCGAGTCATATTACTTCATGATTTATAATAGGCTCAAGGTGCAAATCTATCCATAATATATTTGGATGCATACCTGACACTATAACATCTATTTGGATGCAAAAAGGATCATGAAAGTTCAAAAAGGGAGAGAAACTGCCAGAGTTATTTATTTAAGCAAATGTCTGCTAACTTATAGAGCATAAATGGACGTAGACGCTGTCATTAAAGAGTAATACTATCTCTGATCCCTTAATATAAGACCTTGTTTGACTTTTATTTTGATCCTCATTATAAGACTCCAATTCACTTTGTCTTTTATATTTATTCATTTTTTTTCAAGGTAGTCTTTTTAACAATGATAGTTCTAGTCAATAAACTTGATTAGTAAAGATGTTTTAGGGAAGACAACACCTATTTATTACAAACAATTAACTTAACATATTTTCTTAATCTCATTAAATTAGTCAACTAGTTCTTATAATTAAATGATTGTGGCATTTTTGCATTCTTTTGGAACTTTGATAAGCATTTTTACACTTAAATATGCATTCGTAGATGCCAAGTGACTAGATTTGCACGTTAACTATGAGAATACCTGGAGATAGTCAGCAATTGCTCTCATATTGTCTTTGTAATCGGAAAGAGGCACGTGAGGACCAAGTCCCGCAGGGTGAGGAAGCATGGAATCATTCCCCCCAAAGTACACTATTATCAAATCCGGCTGCACTCCTCCATCCTGAACCATTTGTGAATGAATTTGAGACTTCATCATAAGACTATCATTTGAGTATGGTTCAATACGTAATTTAGACTTATAGCAGCAAAAAAGGGGGGGAAATGAATTAAGGTTCTATCCAAAAGAATTAAATACAAAAAAATTCATTGAAATTATCAGACTAATTTGCAGTAATTACTAACTTGCCATCGTCTTTTTTTTTGTATTGACAACTAAAAGGACAGTTATTAACAACTTAAAGTATAAAGATTAATAATTATCACAATAAATATTAACAATACATGCATTAAGTCTTTGTGATGAGTTGAGAAAATATGTTGTTGATACTTTCCATATGTTAATTGTTGTACCTTAAGTTGTTAACGACTGTTCTTTCAGTTGTCAATATACATTTAAAAAAAAAAAGATGAAAGCAATTTAGTAATCGAACAAGTGGAATCTCTTACAATGAGATTCTTTGAGACTTCAGATGAATTTTACCATTTTAAGAGACTTTTTGTATTTAAAATTCTCGTAGGTATAACCTTAATACAATTTTCCCCCAGAAAAACTCAATAAATATTTATATTGGCAAAAAAAAAAAAAGAGGGGTTAATTTACCTTTGGGAAAACTTGAGGCAGAACCTCCAAAGCACGCTTTGAATTCCAACCCGAGTATCCACGTACTACTATGTCTGCCTGCACACATATATTTCAATTATTAAAACAGATATTAATAGCCTGAGATTATAAACGGGATTGAATCTCCCACCTTATACTTACAAGAAAACTTTCATACACTAGGCTACACAGTTATTCGCCAGTTACATTTAAATCTAATCAATTGTTGAATTACTCAATTGAATATAAAGGAACCCTCCAGATAAGTACGAGCATTTTGTAAGTTTGATATATTACCATAAATTACATCACAACTTAATTATCACAAAAAAAAAGAGTAAAAAAAACATATTAATGATGATTTATTTTATGATAAAATTTGTTAATGATAATTTATTTATGATAAAATTTGTTAATTTTGTTATAAAAAACACTGTTACTAACCATTAATGAGATTTTTCATCACTGAATTAATAAACAATGGAACTATTGGTAGTGTCCTCTTATTTGTGGTGTGAAGCTGAGGTAGCCATTATAAGACTGGTGCATTTTTACTTATTCTCCTGAATAAATACTAATTAAAGGGCATGAAAGTTCATAGAACAAGAAATAAAAGAAACCATAAGAAGATGGATTTTTATTTATTTATTTTTATTGATTGGTTGGTGAAGAAAAAATCCCCGGGCCGGGGGGGGGGGGAATCCATGATGATCAGACACGCACTTTCCAGAAATTGCTGATAAGGTAGAGGGAAACAAATACGTTGACTAATGATAATTATTGTTTGAGTAAACGATAATGTTCACAAATTAATCTTAATCTTCAGCCTCTACTTTTTTCCTGTGTATGTGTCATTTTTCCTCTACAAATTAAAGCAAAACAACCAACGTCCTTTCCGGATTTTAATTTCCTCCATGTACATTATACATACAATAAATTGAATAAAACTTTAATTCCACTAAATAATAATAATGCTCATGCTTGAATAATGATGAAAAAAAATTATGACATTTACTACATTCGATCCTAATTATAATATCTTATTTGTAGTCTATAAATAAAGCCTTATAATTAGGATTGTAGGTAGTATTTTATAACAGAAAGACTAAATTATCCAGCACTATTTTTATTCATTATAAAACTGAAGACATTTTCATGTGCATTACAGCAGTAAAAATAACTCGAGAAGGATGAAATAGTGCAACTCACCATGATTTTATGTTGTATATGGAGTCACATACATAGATTCTCGCAAAAATTTAAATATATAGTGGTAACTAATGAATAATACTATTCCCTGCTATTTAACGTAGGAACTAATTGAAAATTTAATATTAGCCTTATGAAATAAGACTTATTTCATAAATTTATCAACTTTTTTCTAAATTAACACTATTGATATTTTTTTCAATAATAATCAAATAAAAGAGTGAGGAAAAAAATTAAGAAAGTGCTAAGGGTGTGTTAGGAAAAAAAATATCATATTCAATAATTTAACTAACACTCTTATTCTTAATCTACTCAAATTACTTATAATTAGGTCTTATATTAAGGAAAAGAGAAAAGTATTATGATTTAAATATATGACTAAAGTATATATTTAGTCTTTTAATTTTTTTTATAAAGTTTCAATTTAGTCTCTTAACTTTTAAGAGTCTACTTTTAGTCCTTTAATCCTAATTTTTTTTCAAAAAATTGATTACATTAAGATTTTAAATGTTAATAAAATATTCTCAAATGTTAACACATTAAATTTAATTTTTAAAACATGCATGGTTGTTACAAAAAATTATCATTAAAGCCTAACACTTTTAAGTTTAAAAGATCAAATATATCATTTTTAAAGTTAAGGGAGTAACTTAAAACCTTATACAAAATTGAATGACCAAATATATACTTTAATCAAAATATATTTACGCAACATAATACATATGTTGGCAAAACAATGTAACCCTGATCCATTAATCAGGGGAAGCAGTTTTCTTTTTTTTAAATTTTATTTTTTGTGTGGATGACAAACAATAACAATGTTAGAAAACTAAAATGCATGTTTCATGTCTGGACATGTCCTGTGTTCTTACAAAAGTTTCACATAAAACCAGAAAAACAGACCGAACCCATTTAGGCTTTGAAATTATGAGGACCGGGTTTAAAATTATTTCCCTCAAATAGAAAATAAGTTCTGGAGGGCTGAGGGCTAAAAAAGGCTGACCTGTTTATGCCTTTTTATAATTTTTTTTTGTTTTTTTAAATTTTTTATGTAATTGTAATATTATTAATTTTTTACATTGTTAATAATATTTTAAATATTTAGTTATTATTATTATTTTAAAATTAGATTTTATAGAATGATTTGATTTATTTAGTTTTAGGTAATAATTTATCAATTAAATTTTTAAAAAATGAGTTAATTTAGACTTTAATAATGATTTGATTTATATTATATGTATTGATATTTTTAAACTATATATATATTTGATAATAGAGTATTTTTATATTTATATAACTTGTGATTCTATAATTTGATTTAGAAATTCGTGAGTTTCAACAACAAGATTTCTCACATTAAAGTAAAATAATAACTAGATTGTAAAATTTAAAAATAAAATTCCTATAAAGAAGAAAAACTTGATATTTTTGTTACGAAAGAAAATCATACTTATGAAGAAGAATAATTGATTATAGTGATGATAAAATTTTAAAAGATTAATGATAGTGTTTATTTATTGCACAATTACATTATGGATAAAACTTTTGGATGTTGTTATTTGTTAATAAATGTTTTAGATGTTTTTGGATGTTGATGGATATTTATATATGATGATATTTTGTATTTGTAACTTAATTTTATTCATATTTATGTCTTTTATTAATAATTTTATTGGTTTATTTTTATTTTTGATAAAAAATATAAAAAATAGTATTTTTTTTCTTAAATAAGTCAAAAGCCCGCGGACCGACTTTAAGTCCGTTAATTTAAAAACTGGACCTAATAAATTAGAGTATTTTTAAAATTTCAATTCTAGAAGACCGGTTTTTTAAAACCCACCAGCTCTGGAGAGCCAGGACGGTCCAAATTCCCATCTCTAGTTTCACGCTTGGGATTTTCAGAGCATCAGAAGCAAGGAAACAAACTGAGTTTGATGACGGTGTTCTGGATTCTATACATATGTATATTTTGGCCAACACTTTCAAAGTCAAATCAAAATATGATGGTCGAAGAAGAGAGGAATGAGATCCAAATGAACGAGAACTCAGAATTATATATAGAACAGGAGAGATAACAACAGCCCCGACAAAAGGATTAAAACGAAGGATTTGGAATTTGCTTTGCCTTGTTTTCCACAGAGAAGAACACAGAGGCACGCGAATCCAAAATATGAATAAAAACGAAGATATATAGTTTTAACTATAATGTCACAGACAGAAGAAACCGAAGAAATTAAAGAAGAAGAAGATGATGAAGAAGAGAACGTACCCTGCGAGAATAGAGGTGGGCGAGAATGGAACCCCAACCTTCATGGCTGAAACTGTACTCAACAATGGAGGAACCAAACAGCACAATCTGAGGCCTCACTGGTCCAACCATCTCTCTCTCTCTCTCTCTCTTTCTCTCTGCGTGTGCAAATACACATGTATATTTATATATATATGGCTCCCTCTGCTATAACTTGTTTGTTTGGTTGCTTACTTTTTCAAATTTACAATTCTGCTTGGTCCCCTCTAACATTGATAGATCTTGCACCACCGAATTGTCGCTATTACATCATTTAATTAATTTGTCTGATTTATACGCTCCATTGGATGCCACCCCAAGCTGCCTCAATCATCCGTCTCTTTCCTTCTTTCTTTTTATTTCCATATCTACCTCGGCATATTGTTTCATTTTGGAGTTCGAGGTAATAAATTACTACTTTTGATTTGTAATATAAAAACTAGTTTGATATTTAATTTGATTTTAAATATAACATTTCAATTTATTTTGTCTATCATATTTATACATGTTTCTAAAATAATCCTTGTAATAGTTGCACATATTAAATATTTTATCAAATAGTTGTTTTAGCAAATATATATGATTAACAAAGGTATTATGAAAAAAATAACACATGTTTATTATAAATAATTAACTTAACAAATTTATTTAATCTACTCAAATTAATCAACTATCTCTTATATGATAATATATATATATAATAGAACTTTATAATTTTATATATATGCACACAGGTTTTTATATAAAATAACCCCATTGGTGGGAGGGGAAGAAATTTAATAATAAATGATAATACATTTTATCAAATTTATAGAACTATTAAAATCATATAAAAACTTGTGTGCATATATATAAAATAGATACTTTATAATTTAAATATGATAGCGAATCTTTTCAACTTATATTAATTTTTATTATTTGAAATTCGACTCCTAAAATTTATTCATATTAAAAAAAATTTAAAACTTTGCAATCTCCTTATTTTAAATCATATTTTAATATTTAAGTAATGAAAAATCATTGGAAGCATCATAAAATTTAAAATCACAACTTAAAGTTTAAACATCTCCTGATGTTTGCTGGAAAAAAGGCCTAGAAATTCCATAAACCCCAATTCCATCTTTATCTTCACCTTTCTCTCACCTCTTATCTACCATCGCTTTCTTCTCCAGACTATCTCTGCGAGGTACCTACCCATTTACCATACAAATTTGAAATTTTGAGGGACTGGAATAAAAGATTAGATTTTCTATACAGATAAATGTGTCATAAGTAGGGGTGTTCAAGGCCGGTCCATTCCGGTCGGCCCGTTCCGGTCCCGGTCTTATTGGGACGGGACGGATCCGTCCCGAAATTTTTCGGGACGGGACAAACCGGGACAGGACACGGGACGAGGTCGTATTTATATAATATCATTTTTTTCATATTTTTTTAAGATTTGAGACTATTGTATGGAATTATGGATATATTTATTTAGAGTTTTTATATTTGTTAATGATTTGAGATTATTGATTATTAGAATTTTTAGCAAGTTTTTATTGTGTTAAAAGCTTTTGTTTAGAGTTTTTAATGACTATTATATGTAATATTTTGAGCTTTTGTTTAAGAGTGCCTAAATAAATAAAAAAGAAAATAAAAAGATGTTTTTATAAGATTTAAGCTCAAAAAAATATAATTAAAAAAATCAGATTTTTTTAAAAATTTTAAAAAAATATTTTCGGGATATCCTAGTCCTGTCCCGGATCCGTCCCGTCCCGACCGGGATCGGGACAACCCCGGGACGGGCCGGGATACGGGATAGAAAATCTGTCCCGTTATTATTCATCGGGACGGAACTGGGACGGGCTTGTCCCGGTCCCGATTTGTCCCATGAACAGTCCTAGTCATAAGACTAGTTCAAAGAAGCAACAATCAAGTTAAATCTTTGACTTAAAATTTTTTTCAAATCTTAAGCTTTACTTGTTGATGTACTCCAATATTCTTCAATTTTTTTAATTTTAAAAAACTATGATCCTATATTTATTTTAGGGCCAAGAAGAACCCTTTTTATAAATTGTTTCCTCCCTGCAAATACCTATGCCGCCACCACATCAATGCAGAAGAAAAGATAGTAGTCTCAGAGGAGGAGCTCAATAGACTATTCAGAGTCAGAAGGACAGTGATGCAAATGCTGAGGGATAGGGGCTATCTCGTTACAGACTTAGAGGTTAACATGTCCAAGAATGACTTCAGGCTTCAATTTTCTGGGAACACAAGAAGGAGGGACTTTGTTATTAATAAAGCTAAGAAACATGATAGCTCTGACCAGGTATATCATTACTTTCATATTCTACTCCAAGCTTCTTTCTTTTTGCCACCCCAGATTCAAATTTTCCTTGTTCCCCCTGTTTCCTAAACCAAGGTGATTCTTTTATGCATAAATTCGGCTCTTTTACTGTTGGACTTGTAATATTTTAGTATTTCTCAAGCTATGGACTTCATTATGAAGTTACTGTTACCGGAGGCTGCATGTCTGTATTGAAAAAGGAAAAAAAAGTTGTGAATGCTCAGCATAATAATGTCAACTTGAGCACTGAATTTTTGGTGTCACGTGCATGATGTATTTTAGCCTTTTCTTATGGACAAGACTTGAACTCATGTATTTAATGTACTTTTATCAGATCAGGCCAGAATAAGTGTGTTTTATTTCAAAGCAAGTTAACTATATTAATAGTAAAAGTTAGTCATGGAATAAATAATCCATGAAAAAAAATTCACGCGTAGTAAATATATTAAGCATATAAATTTATGTATCTAAGTTATTCTCTTCTCTTATGTGTCTAGTCTCTTCAGACCATGTTACTCAACTTAGCTAGAGGGAAGAATTAGTCAAAATCTCTATTTGCAGTTCCAGTTCAATTTTAGAGGACGAAAATTACTACTTGATCACTTCATCTGTTATATGTTGAACACTTATCCAGTCTGTAACAAGATTTTTTTTCCCGTGTTAAATCTTTTAATTGGTTGCCTTTGTAGCAGATCTATGTTTTCTTTCCTGAGGAATCTAAGGTTACATCTGAGACAATAAGGACATACGCCAACCGCACTAAATCAGAGAATGTATTCAGAGCAATTTTGGTTGTTCAACAGAAATTGACTTTCTTTGCCCAGAAATCTATTGCTGAAATATCTTCAAACTTCCACTTGGAGTTCGAGGTTTTTCAGGTGACATAGTTTACTTTGTGATCTTGAATTGGAAAATTGTCGATAGTTGTTTGAAAAAGTAGCTTCATTAATACAGGAGTCAGAACTGCTCGTCAACATAACAGACAATGCTCTTGTTCCTCAACACAAGGTGCTTACTGACTCAGAAGAAAAACTTACTGGAGAAATACACCGTGAAAGAAACTCAGGTAACTTTATTTAATGCCATTATTCTCTCAACTGTATTATATGGAAAAATGTCAAGTGTCCAACAAACCTATATATGTTACATTTAGGCTTGGTTTTGACAGAGGGGGAAGTCAAAGGAAAATAGGAGGTCGAAAGAATATTAGGAAGGAAAACTCCTAAAAAAAAAATTACTATTTTTAGGAGTTTTCACTCTTCGTATTCTTTTTCTCTTTATTTTTCTTTCCATCCAAATCAAGGGTTAGACTACTAGGGTTATGAGAAGACATTAGGGTGCCAGATGCTTGGGTTTTAAGTTTAGTAAGTTAACTTCTAGAGCTTTGCTAAAATGACATATCAGAGTGAAATTTGCTTGTTATATGCATGCTTCAGAGGTTGAGAGACCTACTCATCTGCACACTAAGACTGAGTTAGGACATGGTATGATGTATCTTTGTAATATTTGCGTGAACTTGTCATCTGTTTGAGGTGATACTGACACTCAGACTGTTGGAAAATTTTCCGAATGATTTAGAAACTAGTCTCGTATGAATAGAGAGTTAAATCTGTCTGACTACAATTTTACAGCTTCCATCTAATAATACCTGCACTTGAAATGGATCCTGATGCTGAAATGTACAATGAATTTCATGCTTATAAGGCTTACTTCATTTCTCTAAAATTGCCTCTCATATCTTGATTCTTTTGAAACCTCAAATCATCAGACATTGATATTGTTTCTTCCTCTTTCAGCTTCCTAGAATGCAGGTCACGGATCCAGTTGCTAGATATTTTGGAATGAAACGTGGACAAGTTGTAAGGATCAGCCGAAATAGTGAAACTTCTGGCAAATATATAACCTACCGATATGTTGCATAAGTAACATAATAATTCCATTGGAGGGAAACTGAATGTTTGATTGAAATCCTTTATTTATTTATTCCCTGTTCTTCTGCATTTTCTTCAATCCATACGTATCTTTTGTCAGATAAATGAATATGAACAAAGACACATAGTTACGTAGAGCTTGTTTGCATGGAACAAAGTTCAAAAAGTTTTGTATTATACTGTGTCAACTAGAAGCATGGAACAAAGTTTTGTATTAAACCTTCTATTGTCTGCTCTATGTTTCAAGAAAAAAGTCAGAACAAATATGTATGATTTATTTATATCATTCATTGAAAAGCTTGATCATTGTCTCTTAAGAAACTGCATCCAAATTGTGCACCTAACAAACAAAAGAATTGCATTGAGAATCTTAAAGAGAAACTGCAATTCGTTAAGCAGTCCAAGAAATTACTCCCATTCCATAAATGAAGGCAAGGTTATTGAAGAGACACTAATGGTGGTTTTGCCATCAGCACTGACAGGATCATAAGGGGAAGGTTGTGAAAACTCCATAGGCATTGATTTCCAGTGCAAGTTTGGCTCCCACTCAGCTTCTTTCAGAACCTTCAATATTTCTTTCGCCACTATTTTGCTTCCCACACTCGACAGATGAATTCCATCTCTGACAAGTTATGTTATTCACAAGTCATGAACAGTACAACTCATTAAAACTCGATGCAGAGATTTATGAATTATATTCCCTCTAGTCCTTATTATAAGAGAGAGAATAAAAATTAATATGATGTTCGAGTTTAGTATAGTTAATAAGAATAATATTAGATATTTTTTAAATTTTACGATAAATTTAATGTTTTTAATTATTGATATTGGTACAT